TGGAGCCATCTTGAGGCCTCGGAAGGCCATCGGAAGCGAAAAGGCGAGCAAGCAAAATTCATTGGTTTTCCTTAGGTTTTTGAAGGATTTTGGCCTCTTGGAGTCGTCTTGGGGCGATCTTGGGGCCTCTTGGGGCATCTGGGGAGCCATCTTGAGGCATCTTGGGCTATCTCGAGGCATCTTGGAGGTCATCTTGGCCTCTCCGAGGCCCTCTTGGAGCCGTCTTGGGCCATCTTGGACGCTCCGACACCTCGCGAACCCCCCCGTCCAGGTCCAGGGGAGGGGGTTAGGGGGAGGGGTAAACCCCTCCCCGAAGGGGAAGGAGGGAAGATGGAAGAGGAAACTCCCTAAACCACCTACGCCCAGAGGGCTGGTGGGATTACACATCGGGCCCGCCGCAGGCGCCGATTTTTTCGTTAAAGCAATGTGGATGGGTCGCTGGGTGGGCCGCGGGTGGGTCGCGGGTGAGTCGCTGGTGGGTCGCGGGCCAGATCGCGGCTGGAGCGCGGGTGGGTCGCGGATGGGTCGCGGGCGGGTCGCGGGCCGGGTCGCGTGTGGGTCGCGGGTGGTTTGCGGGGGGGGGGGGGGGGGGTCGCGTGTGGGTGGCGGGTGGATCGCGGGGGGGACGACGGCAACGAACAACAAACAACAGACAAGAAATAACCAACAACCATTGAACAACACACAACAAACAACAACCAAACAACAAACAACAAACACACAAACTAGCAATCCAAAAAGACAGACACACAAGCAAGCAGCCAACCAACCACACACACAAACCACTAAGCAGACACACAACCAAACAACCAAACAAACAAACAAACAAACAACACCAGCAACAACACACATTCTTAACAACAGAGCCACCACCACTAACAACAACAACAACACTAATAACAACACCACCACCAACAACAACAATCATTTCAAGACTGTTGACTCTTATCTGTTCGCATGCCATTCAACACGTCGATCCAAAGCCCTCGATACCCGCCCTCTTCGTCTTGGATCGTGCCCCGATGGGTGTATACATATAAGTATAATTACATACCCATCGATGCTTATTTCTTACCCGCACCGTGTATTTCGTGCAGCCCCTGAGGCAGGCTCTCCAGGATTGCCCAGTCTTTCTCGGGACACGGAAGAGTCACGGCGGGGGCGTTTTCGCTTGGAGCCGGCTGGGGGCCTGGGGTGGCCCAGCAATGGCTCGTGCGAGCAGGAAAGGGGGGGGCGAGGTTCGAGGCTTTGGGCTCGAGGAGGACTCCTGCCTCTTCGGCCCCCGGGGGGGCCGCTTCCGCGCCCCCGCAGGACCGCCCCAAAGAGCGGATCCGGGGGGAGGAGTTGCCTCCGATGGCTTCTGGGAGGGGTCCAGGGGCCGATGGCTGCGCGGGTTTTGAACCCCACGCTCCCCCTCAGAGATCGTCTGGGTTAGGGGTACAGTCGGGGCCCTGAAGAAGGGACCCTTTTCGTTGGGGAGGGGCTCCGCCTTCCTTCAGTGTTTCGCATCTTGCCTCAGGTTTTCCTGATGTTTTCGATCGGAAATCGAAGTTTAACTCATGGGAAAAAGGGGCCTCGTTCCTTATTTTGGGTTCCTTAGGTCAACGCTCCGACTGTAGGGCTCGCACGCGGCCCCCTGCACTCGACGACGGGAATCGGGTCCTCCGACGGCGGCGGCGCTCTCGCGTCGTGGGGCCGTCGTGGCGGAGGAGGAGGAGGAGGAGGAGGAGGAGGAGGAGGAGGAGGAGGAGGAGGAGGAGGAGGAGGAGGAGGAGGAGGAGGAGGAGGAGGAGGAGGAGGAGGAGGGGAGGGGGAGGGGGGGAGGAGGGGAGGAGGAGGAGGAGGAGGAGAGGGGAGGAGGAGGAGGAGGAGGAGGAGGAGGAGGAGGGAGGAGGAGGAGGAGGAGGAGGAGGAGGAGGAGGAGGAGGAGGAGGAGGAGGAGGAGGAGGAGGAGGAGGAGGAGGAGGAGGAGGAGGAGGAGGAGGAGGAGGAGGAGGAGGAGGAGGAGGAGGAGGAGGAGGAGGAGGAGGAGGAGGAGGAGGGAGGAGGGACTTCTGCCAGCGTTCGGCCCCCTTGGGGCCCCTCGTCGGGTCCCGGGGCAGTCGAAGCACGGCCCCGTTGGGCGCCGCGTAACGGGGGGGTCATAAATGGGGGGGTGGCGAGGGTGGTTCGAAAATGCACCCAAACGGTACCTAAACGAGGCTTCTGGGGCTCTGGAGGGGCCCGAAAGGAGCACGAAAGTGGACCTCTTCTGATCCCCCCGCTTAGGACCCCCCCATGAAGTCCCGCCCGACCCCGGGGCGACGAGCCGATCTGGGGAACTCACTGACCCAAAACAGGCGCCCAAGCCCCAAAACGCGAGGGCCAAGGCAGGCCGCAGGCTCCTCGAGACTTCGGGGAGGGAGATTTTTGGGGCTTAGAGTTTTGCCGGTGTGGCAACGACGAGCGCAAGACATGCCCCGAAACCTTTGACCGATCTTCGAATCCTCGGTGAATCCGCGATTTTGGGGTTGGGGATGTGTTTTTTCTTGGTCAGGAAAGGATCCAGGCCTCCAGGGCTCCGCGTCGTGAGCGAAGACGTGGCATCCGGGATCTGTGGCTACTTCCGTGGCTACGGTCGGACCGAGGTCTAAGATCGAGGTCGGTTCGGGGAGGGTGCCCCAATTCTAGGCCTCCTAGATGGGGTCGGAGTAGATGGGGTCGGAGGATCGCGCCGCATCGCCGATGCATCGGCGATGCATCGGCGATGCATCGGCGATGCATCGGCGATGCGGCTCGATGTGGGGCTCGATTTTCTCCACGCCAACGTCGCCGATGCATCGCTGACGTCGCCAGTGCGTGGCCGATGCATCGCCGATGCATCAGCGATGCATCGTCGATGTATCGGCGATGCGGTGAGATCCCCCGACCCCATCTACTCGGACCCCATCCAGGAGGCCTCCACCACTGTTCTTCGTGTCTGTGGAATGTTCTGGTGCATCCTGGGGGAGGGCACCCATGAGTGTTCTTCCGCTTGGCCGTCGGAGGGCCCCCTGTGCTCGAAGGGTGCTCCTCTGCCCCAGGTCCGGCCGGATGCGCTTTTTTCGGCTGCGCTCGCGACTGCCAGGCCAGGGCCTGGATCGGTGTGCATGCCCCTGGCAGGCTTGGGCAGGCAGGCGTGGGCCTCGTCCCCGGGCCGAGGTTTGGCTCGGCCGGCTCGGCCAGGACTGGTGCAGGTGCGTACAGTTGGCGTCCTCCCTCCCAGGCGACGGGCTCGGAGGGGCTGGGCAGGAAGAAGCGCAGCAAGGCCAGGGAGAAGGACCTTGGTTGCCACATTCCAAACGTTCCATTCTTGCGTCGCGACGCGGTAGCGACGAAGGGCTTTTGGACGTTTTCGGTCTCCAGGGGCCCTCGCCAGGTCACGGGATTCTGGGGTAAACTCGGCTTGGAATGAAAACCTCGGTTCTGGGCGGCACAGTGTCGGGACTTCGGGGGCGCCGCATTGAACACGTCAAGACGCTGGCTCAAGAGTCGTCAAGAGTCATCAAGGGGAAGAGGATGAGGAGGAGGACGAGGCGGAGAAGGATGAGGAGGGACAGGGGGAGGAGAAGGAGGAGGAGGAGGGGGAGGAGGAGGAGGAGGAAGAGGAGGAGGAGGGGGAGGTGGAGGAGGAGGAGGAGGAGGAGGAGGAGGAGGAGGAGGAGGAGGAGGAGGAGGAGGAGGAGAGGAGGGGGAGGAGGGGGAGGGGGAGGAGGAGGAGTAGGGGGAGGAGGACGCTTCTCTTCGGGGACGTGCTCCTGGCCCAGGGCGTCCGCCTTTCTGGCACCCTTCTGGAGCCCCCGGGGGGGCCTTTTTGGGCCTCGGGAGGGGTGCCCTGCTGGGAGGCCCTCGGCCCCCTCCTCTCCCCCCCTTCTGGAGAGAGCTCCTGGGTGCACCATCTGGGCCAGAGGGCACCCTCCGCCTTGTCCTCCGCCTCGTCCTCCTCCCCCTCCTCCGCTTCCTCTCCTCTTCTTCTCCTCCTCCTCCTCCTCCTCCTCCTCCTCCTCCCCTCCTCCTCCTCCTCCTCCTCCTCCTCCTCCTCCTCCTCCTCCTCCTCCTCCTCCTCTTTTGGCACTGCCCGCCAAGAGGAGCCCGAGCCGTACCTCTACGACGTGTGGGAGAAATACCCCGACTCGCACAAAAAGCCTTCCGATGTCGAGCTGCTGAAGCTCGGAGCCACCAAGCCTCCCCCGGCCGAGTCGGATCCGGAGGCCTCCAGCGACCAGGCGTGAGTCCTGCGGTCGCGCGAGACAATGGCGGAGTTTTTTGTGCAGGGGGTACTCTTGGTCAAGCCACGCACTTGTACAAGCGGTCTCCACCTCCTGCCGCTGCTCCTCCTCCGCCTCCCAGACCCCTGAAGCGTCGTGATTTTTTCATGACGTGCCCCTCAGAAGTCTGGATCCCTTCCTGGGGACTGGTTTTTCTTCTTGAGTCGGTTTTTGACGGTCCCGAGGCCCAGGAAGGGCCCTGGGAGGAGGAGGAGGGGAGGGGAGGAGGAGGAGGAGGAGGAGGAGGAGGAGGAGGAGGAGGAGGAGGAGGAGGAGGAGGAGGAGGAGGAGGAGGAGGAGGAGGAGGAGGAGGAGGAGGAGGAGGAGGAGGAGGAGGAGGAGGAGGAGGAGAGGAGGCGTGCCTTCGCGGCTGCCTTGGGCGGAGCGTGTCCGTGCGGCCACGCATCCGCGGGGCCGCGCCCTGGGCTCCAGGCCGCGAGAGGGCGCGCGGCGCGGCCTGTGCTCGCCGTTCGTGGCCGGCGCCCGTCCCGTCCCTCCGGGCCCTGGGCCCGTGCGGGGGCCCGCAGGGCCGCCGGGCCCCTTCGCGGTCCGGGCCGGGGAGGCGTCCCTCCCGAGCAGGCTCCCGAGGGGCCGCGCGAGGGCGCAGAGGCATCGGGGCGCCTCGCGGTGTCGCTCGGCGCGGGGGCGCGACGGCCGGTGGCCAGGGCTGCCATGCTGTGGCCTCTCCGGGGGGGCACCGCTGCCGCTGCTGAGGCGGGCGCTGTTCCGCATCCACCAGAAGATTCTCGGCTCGGACCGGGCGCCGCGCCCTGCCCTCGTTGCCGCAGCCGCCTCCTCCCTCTGCCGCTGCTCCTCGCCTCTGGTGCGCTGTCGCGCCACCCTCCTCGTCGTCGTCGTCGCCCTCTTCCTCCTCGTCATTTTCGTCCCTTTCGTCGCCGTCCTCCTCTTCCCCAGCAGCGTTTTTTGTTTGTCGTCGACCCTGTTGGTCGATCTCTCTGGTCCTCCGTTGGCGCCCCTCGTCCCCCGACCCTCTTGCTGTGTCCATGTCTCCCCTTTCCGGGTCTCGCAGGAGTTTCCTGTCCTTCGCACATATGATCAGCCTTCTCTCTGTCGTGACCTGTGCCCATCAGGTGCGCCTCGCAGGAGCGGGCGCAGCTGGAGAGGTGTGGCAAGGAAGGCTCAGTCAGGGAAGCCTGGCCAGGGAAGCCTGGCCAGGGAAGTTGACTCCCTCTGGAGAATCCCTTGCGCCCTCCCGGAGGCACGCAGCTGTGGTACTGTCTGCGGGGGGAGGCCAAGACGCGGAAGCACAGCCAGGGAGGCCGAGCCGAGCCTCGGCACCCTGCAGGCAGGCCGATGTCTTGGAGTTTTTTTTTGTTGTTGCTTTGACCCTCTGGGCCATAACGCGCGTTATGCCCCCTACCCTCCCCCCCTCTCCCCCCATAACGTATTGCTTCCCCCTTCAGTGCGTCCCCGGCACTGCCGCAGTACGTCTGGCACCACAGTCTGGGCGGGGGGCGCTGAGTTGTGCCCCCTCCAGACCGCCGCCCCCGTCCCCCCAGGACGCCCGTTCTGGCCGCGAATCAAAAAACACGCCGTGGCCTTCGCACAGGCCGGCCTTCACACCCGCCCGTCCGCCGGTGCCTCCTTGTCCTCCTGGAGGAGGAGGGGGAGGCAGCCGGGCCGGGCGGGGCCACGACCAGGACACATGTTTCCAGAGCGTTCCGGGATGCTCTCAGGGCGTTCTCGAGCGCCCTGCGGCGGCCGCGGCGCCCCATGCACGCCCTCCGATGTGACTGTTGCGTCTTGATCTCCCCAAGCCGTGCCAGAGGCCCGCACGCACGACACGAACCTGAAACCGAAACCAATTTCCGGGTGGGGGGCTCTTTGTTTTACTTCGAGCCATATATTGATATGTATACACATACATACACGTATGTGTATATATATATATGTATATATATGGATTTACGACGACTCCTGTATATATACATATATATATATATATATATATATATTCGGGGCGACGCTCGCGCTGGTAAGTCTTTTCATCTAAACTCGGTGGCGGGCGCTTTCTGGCCATACCGTTCGGGAGACGATCTACCACACCATGTTTGTGCTATATGCTCGGGTCGGACGCGCGCCTCCAACAGACAACAGAGGCACATGGTACTGCTATGCCGTTCTGCGCCCCCTTTCCCCAGGGCCAGTGTTAGGTCGTGCATGTCCTCTTACAGGCGGATGTTGGACAAATCAGAAGTAGCCAAGTATATCCCGAAATGATCCAGAATAGTTAATACATCGTCCCCAGCTTTTTTTGTTAAATATATTCGTAAATCCTCCACCCAAAAAGGGACATGCCCGACTCAAGGCCCGTGCTTCCTCCCGGGCGTTTCGTCTGACAGCCCCAGGTGGCTCGGCGAGGGCGCGCAGCGCCAGAAAACGCTGGCAAAAATCCGGCCGCCATGTTGTTTTCCGACGGCACGGGCGTGTCTGGGCTTATCGCGGACGGAGGAGGGAGGAGCAGGACGAGGAAGATTACGGGAACGACGACGACGACGCCAACGGCTACGACGACGATGACGACGGCGACGGCGGTGACGGCGACGACGACGATGACGAAGACGACGGCGACGGCGACGACGACGACGATGGCGGCGACGACGACGACAGGACGACGCCGACGACGGCGAGCGACGGCGACGACGACGACGGCGACGGCGGTGCCGACGACGACGGCGACGACGACGACGACGGCGGCGATGACGACGCCGACGACGACGACGACATCGACGACGACGACGACGACGACGGGGGCGACGACGTCGGCGTCGACGGCGACGACGACGACGACGACGGCGGCGACGGCAACGACGACCACGATGGCGATGACGACGAACGACGACGACGACGACGGCGGCGGCGACGGCGACGGCGGCGACGGCGACGACGACGACGACGGCGACAGCGACGACGACGACGACGACGGCGACGACGACGACGGCGGCGGCGGCGACGACGACGACGACGACGACGGCGACGGCGGTGACGGCGACGACGACGATGACGAAGACGACGGCGACGGCGACGACGACGACGATGGCGGCGACGACGACGACGGCGACGGCGACGACGACGACGGCGACGGCGGTGCCGACGACGACAAGGACGACGACGACGGCGACGGCCTCGCCGACGACGACGACGGCGGCGACGACCGACGACGACGACGACGACGACGACGACGGGGGCGACGACGTCGGCGTCGACGGCGACGACGACGACGACGGCGGCGACGGCAACGACGACACCGATGGCGATGACGAACGACGACGACGACGACGACGGCGGCAGCGACGGCGACGGCGGCGACGGCGACGACGACGACGACGGCGACAGCGACGACGACGACGACGACGACGGCGACGACGACGACGGCGGCGGCGGCGACGACGACGACGACGACGGCGACGGCTAAGATAATGACGACGACGACGGCGATGACTTCGACGAGGACGACGACGACGGCGGCGGCGGCGGCTACGACGACGACGAAGACGGCGACGACGACGGCGACGGCGACGACGACCACGGCGACGACGACGGCGACAGCGACGACGACGACGACGACGACGGTGGTGGCGGCGACGACGAGCGCGACACCGACGGCGACGGCGACGTTCGACGCTGACGACGGCGGCGACGCCGACGCCGTCGACGACGACGACGTGGAAGATTACGGGGACGACGACGACGACGGCGTGAACGGCTAGGACGACGGCGACGACGGCGACGGCGGTGACGGCGACGACGACGACGCCGACGACGACGACGACGGCGACGACTTCGACGACGACGACGACGACGACGACAACGGCGGTGGCGGCGACCACGACGACGGCGACGACGACGACGACGCCGACACCGACGACGACGACGACGACGACGGGGTCGACGACGACGGCGTCGACGGCGACGACGACGACGCCGACGGCGGCGGTGACGACGACGACGACGACGGCGATGACGACGGCTTCGGCGGCGACGACGACGACGACGACGGCGACGACGACGACGATGGCGACGGCGACGAAGTCGACGACGGCGAAGCCGCTGGCGGCGACGGCGACGACGACGACGACGACGACGACGGCGGCGGTGGCAACGACGACGACGACGCCTGCGGCGACGGTTGAGACGACGACGACGGCGACGGCGGCGACGGCGGCGACGACGACGACGACGACGACGACGGCGGCGACGACGACGACGGCGGCGGCGGCGACGACAACGACGACGACGACGGCGATGACAACGACGACGACGGCGACGATTTTGACGACGACGACGACGGCGACGACGACGACGACGACGACGACGGCTGCGACGACGACGACGACGACGAAGGCGACGGCGACGGCGACGACGACGACGACGACGGCGACGGCGACGATGAAGACGACGACGACGGCGGTGGCGCCGACGACAAGGACGACGACGACGACGGCGACAGCGCCGACGACGACGACGACGGCGGCGACGCTGACGCCGACGCCGACGCCGACGACGACGACGGCGTTGACGACGACGCCGACGACGACGGCACCGACGACGACGACGACGAAAGGGGCGACGACGTCGGCGTCGACGACGACGAAGACGGCGACGGCGACGGCGGCGACGGCGACGACGACGACGAAGGCGGCGATGACGACGAACGGCGACGACGACGGCGGCGAGAGCGACGACGACGCCGACGGCAGCGACGACGATGAAAGACGACGGCGACGACGACGACTGCGACGAAGGCGACGACGCCGTCGCCGACGACGACGGCCATGACGACCACGGCGACGGCGACGACGACGAGGATGGCACCGACGTCGACGACGACGGCGACGGCGGCGACAACGACGACGACGGCGGCAACGACGATGACGACGACGGTGGCGACTGGGACGACGACGACGGCGACGGCGACGACGACGACGACGGCGACGGTGGCGGCGACGACGACAGCGACGACGACGACGGCGACGGTGGCGACGACGACGACGGCGGTGACGACGACGACGACGACGACGACGACGGCGGCGGCGGCGACGACAACGACGACGACGACGGCGATGACCACGACGACGATGACGGCGGCGGCGACGCCGACCCCTACGATGACGACGGCGACGGCGGCGACGACGACGACGACGACGGCGGCGTCGACGACGACGGGTGCGACGACGACGGCGGCTACGACGACGACGCGACGGGACGGACGGCGACGGCGACGACGACGACGTGGCGACAACAACGGCGACAACGGCGGGCGACGACGACGGCGACGACGACGACGGCGGCGACGACGACGATGACGACGGCGACGACGAACAGCGACCGACGACGGCGGCGACGCCGACGCCGACGACGACGACGACGACGGCGACGACAACGACGACGACGACGAAGACGACGCTGGCGATGATGACGAATACGACGACGGCGGCGACGACGACGACGACCACTGCAACGATGACGACGACGGCGACGGCGACGACGGCGAGGATGGCGACGACGACGACGACGACGACGACGACGACAACGACGACGGCGGCACCGACGACGGCGACGACGACGGCGACGACGACAACGACGACGACGACGGCGACGGCAACGACGGCGACGACGGCGACGACGGCTTCGACGGCGGCGGCGACGACGACGACGACGACGGCGACGGCGACGACGGCGACGACGACGACGATGACGGCGATGGTGGCGGCCGCGACGACGACGATGACGATGACGCCTCCGACGGTGACGGCGACGACGACGACGGCGACGACGACGACGACGACGGCGGCGACGACGACGACTGTGGTGACGACGACGACGACGACGACGACGACGACGACGACGGCGACGACGACGACGACGACGGCGACGGCGACGACGACGATGACGACGACGACGACGGCGACGGCGGCGGCGACGATGACGACGACGACGGCGATAACGACGACGACGATGACGACGGCGGTGACGACGACGACGACGGCGACGACGACGACGGCGACGGCGACGACGTCGACGGCGACGGCGACGACGACGACGATGGCGACGGCGACGACGATGACGACGACGGCGACGAAGGCGACGACGCCGTCGCCGACGACGACGGCCATGACGACCACGGCGACGGCGACGACGACGACGATGACGGCGACGTCCGCGACGACGACGACGACGGCGACAACGACGACGACGACGGCGGCGGCGGCGATGACGACGACGGTGGCGACTGGGACGACGACGACGACGGCGACGGCGACGAACGACGACGACGACGACGACGGCGCGACGACGACGGCGGCGGCGACGGCGACAACGCGACGACGACGGACTACGACGACGACGGCGCGACGGCGACGGCGACGGCGACGACGACGACGGCGACGGGCGGCGACGGCGGCGACGGACGACGACGGCGACGACGGCAACGGCGACGTCGACGGCGACGACAACGACGACGCCGACGACGACGACGACGGCGACGGCGACGACGACGACGACGACGACGACGGCGTCGTGGACGACGCCGGCGACGACGACGATGACGGCGAAACCGGCGACGACTACGACAACGACGCCGACGACGGCTTCGACGACGACGACGACGGCGGCGACGGTGACGGCGACGACGGCGACGACGGCGGCGACGGCGACGGCGCCGTCGACGACAACGACGACCACGACGGCGGTGACGACGGCCGCGGCGACGACGACGACGACGACGACGACGACTGCAACGTTGACGGCGAAGACGACGACGGCGACGACGACGACGAAGGCGACGGCGACGACGACGACGACGACGACGGCACCGACGACGACGGTGACGACGACGACGGCGAAGACGACGACGACAGCGACGACGACTACGACGCCAACGCCGACGCTGCCGACGCCGACGCTGACGCCGACGCCGACGCCGACGCCGACGACGCCGTCGCCGACGCCGACGCCCTCGCCGACGACGACGCCGACGGCGACGCCGACGGCGACGACGACGACAACGACGCCGACGCCCTCGCCGACGACGCCGACGCCCACGCCGACGACGACGGCGCCGACGACGACAGCGACGACGACGACGACAGCGACGACGTCGACGACGGCGGCCGTGACGACGACCGCGGCGGCGTTGGCGGCGACGACGACGGCGGCGACGGCGACCGCGACGTCGACGGCAACGACGACGCCGACGACTACGGCGACGGCGGCGACGGCGGCGACGACGACGACGTCAACGAGGACGACGGCGCCGACGACGACGGCGACGCCGACGCCGACGACGACGACGGAGAGCAATCCTGGGCGCTCCTCCCTCCTCCGCCGTGCGCCCCCGTCTCTCGACCGCGCGCGCGCGCGCCCCTCTCCGCCACAAGATATGTACACAGAGGCCCTCCAACGGATTGCTCCTGGGCCTTAGGGGAGGCTTGCGTTGTACCAATCTCCAATTGAGGGCCAGCGACTTCCTGCGCCGCCACCCTCCCTGAAGATACATGCAAAGTTCGTCGGCGGGGGTCTGTGTCTGTATTTTCGTGGCGTACTCTTCTTCCCATGGCCAAGTCCTAGGCCTCCCATATTGGGTCGGAGTTTGATGTGGTCGGAGGATCGCGCCGCGTCGTGGATGAATCGGAAATGCGGCTCGATGAGGAGCCCGATGTTCTCCACGCCGACTTTCGCCGCTGCATCGCCCACGTCGCTGCATGTGTCGCCGATGCATCGGCAATGCAGCGACGATGCGGCGCGATCCTCCGACCCCATCGAACTCCGACCCCCCATGTGGGCGGCGTCGGCAGGTGCGGCAGCTGCGTCTGCGCGCCGAGCGGCTGCTGCCACCTGTCGCGCTGGCGCTGGCGGCCTGCTGGGCCTCGCTGCATGCGGAGCCGCGCGCGCGCGCGCGAGGAGGTCGCGTGTCCGGCACGGCACGCCTCCGCACGCGTGCCGCATCCAGACATGGTGGGCTCCGGAAAGGGCCTCGCCTGCGAGGGTCGAAGGAGCTGGCATCTCTTCCTCGGCGGAAGGGCGGCGGAGGCTGGCGGAAGTAGAACGAAGGGCAGTTCAGCCGGCGGAAGGCCGGCGGAAACCGGCGGAAGTAAAAGATGCGCCCCTTAAGTGAGGGCAACACTTTTGGGCTCAGGGTTTCTGAATTGGCCACATGCTCGCGTCGTGGCAGAACTCACGACGAGTGTTTCATGGCCGTTTTCGGCCTCTGGGGGCCTTCGCCAGGCCCCGGGAGCGTGAGACGGCGGCTCGGGATGAGAAGCCGGCCCTGGGGAACGAGTCTGGACTTCTGGGGGCCCAGTATGGAACAAGTCGAGACATTGAATGTCTGGAAGGCAGCCCGAGTGAGCCCCAGAGCCAAGCCTGGGAACATCGGTTCTTTGCCGCGAGTCGGAGCGACTGGGCCGAGCATGGAGGTCACCGCTGGCTTGAATTCTAGGCCGTAGCTCCGACGCCTAATCCTGGCTAGTGTCAGCTTGTGATTCACAGATGATGCTCCCCCCTCCCCTTGGGCTCATGAACAGACCCCGCGGGGCGCGACACAATTTTGTTTTCATCACGCGCGGTAGGTGTTCGTCACGGGCGCCGCCACGGGGATCGTGTACCCCCTTGTGCGGCAGCCTCAAAACGATGGCCTTTCGTATAAAAAATTGTTATAGATATCGTAAACTTCCGAGGCGAAGTTTTCCTCCTCCCAGGCTGATTACTGACGTGCGTGCCACTGTCGTCGTCGTCGTCGCCGCCGCCGCCGTCGTCGTCGTCGTCGTCGTCGTCGTAGAGCATTTCAAGTCAGAAAGAACTCTCGCAAACGATGCTGAAGCTGGTGGGCCTGCTCGACGCGAAGGACTTCATGGCGGCGTGGCACAAAGCCAAGTTCATGGCATGAGACGGGGGGACAACCAGGATTTGGCAACCCACATTCGCGGAATCGGGCATCGTGTTAGCAGGGGCGGCGGGAGCCACGAGCCTCGGGTGCGACACGAACGCCGGAAGGTGGAGGAGGACAGTAAAGCAGGACGCGAGGTTGGCCAGGGGGCGAAAGCAGCAGGGCGGGTGCAGGTGCTGAGTGTTGCTGGAGCCGGGACGGGCGGCCACTTGCAGAGGAGCAACCCGACGGCGACCGCGCTTTGGGGAGCAGGAGTGGCAGGGGCCGTGGACCTCAAGCTGCACCAGGTCCGCATCCAAGCGACGAGGGCGGAGGGCAGGCTGTCGAGAGGAGCAGTGGCGCACCTGAGGTTCAGAGCGTCGCCGTGGGGGGGCCAACGCGACCCGACAGTCCTCGTGGCCGCGGAGGGCGCCACAGCGTGGGCGGTGTGCGCAGTGGAGCCGACAGGGGCGCTGCCAAGAGTCTTGATGGAGAGCTGTTAAAGGGATGCCCAGGGGCTGCTGAGCAGGCAAGGCGGAGGCCGTGGGCTGGAGCAGTCAGCCCAGCGGACGCGCCGCAATCCACGATGGCCAGAGTGGGGATATCGATGTCGTCGGCTTTCGAGCTGCAGGTGCCGACAGGGGAGGTGCTCGACATGAGGTGGCTGGGGCCGAGTCTGATCGCAGCCCTGGTTGCGAGGGCGGCAAGGTGGGCGGAGGATGGTTTGGGCAAGCGGTCAGCGCGGGGGGGGCCCAGTCCACTGGAGGCACTTCGAGGAGCTCATGGCAGAGGCCGGGTCCGAGACGTGGGGCGCCAGGCACAAGAGGGCGATGAGGTGCGCGGCAGGAGGCTCAACGTCGATGCAGGCGAGGCTGTTCGACCGAGGCCTGGCCGCGACGGGCAGCTGCGGGGAGTGCAGGAGGCGGATGGGGGGCGCTGTGGCGCCGCCTTTTTGGCTGCGACGCGGCGCTGACCTTCGGGCGAGACGTGCGCCCCAAACCGGTGCTGCTAGCGGCCGGGAGGGCGCTCGAGCAAGGGGGGGTGGCGGCAGGTTGGGGGCTCGCCAGGGGCCTCTTCCCCGTGGTCAAGCAGGCGTGGGTGGCCCCGCGCGAGGGGCCAGACCTGGAGGTGGTGAACTGGGTCAAACGGCCGTCGAACGGGCGCTTCCAGGGGAGGGTCTTCGCGGACGGGTCCGCCGCCGACCCCGAGGATAACGCGTTCGGATGGGCAGGCTGGGCTATCGCGCAGCGCGGCGAGCGGGGCGCGGCCCCGCTGGCGTGGGGGCCGCTGCAGTTGGCGAGGGGCGGCGAGGACCTTGCTTTCCGCATTCTCACGAACTGCTTCGAGGTGCCGCTGGGATTGTCCAGCGACTGCGCGGGCGCCATCCGATAGGCAACCGGCGTTGGCGAGGCGCTGGCGAAAGGAGCGGCGAGGCGGCGCCTGTCGAAGCGGCGGTGGAGCGAGCTCGGAGGCCAGGGCGACGCGCTGGCCACGAAGGTCAAGGCGCGCAGGCCCAAGTCTGAATGCGCGGCGGAGACCGAGAGGGTGGGCGAGGGAAGGCGACGAGAGGGTGGGCCGCCACGCCGAGGATGGCGCGTTTGCCTGAGGCCGCTGGCCCGAGTGCGGATTGGCGGCTGAAGGCGCGCGCTCCCTGGCGAAGCAGACTGCGGGGTGGGTCGGCCAGTCGTCGGTCTGGCGGCGCGCGCGGGCGCCGGGCGCGGAGGGGGCCCCGAACGCGGCGATGATCGAGCTGGAGGGGGCGCCCGCGGACCCGGGCGAGGCCATCGAGGAGGCTGGGGGCGAGGAGGTGGCCGGGGCCAGTTGGCGCAGGGGCAGCGAGGCAGCTGGCGAGGGGCCGCAATGGGCCAAGAGCTCAGGTTCGTCACCCGCTGGATGGGCCACCACCAGGGCGAGTTCATCAGCGGGGTGGGCGAGCGCGGGCTGGCGTGCGGGAAGCGCGGGGCGTCGGGCGCCCCGGGCCACCTGCGGGCCGAGAAGAGGCGCGCGGGGGCCCCTCTTCCAGGGGCCCGGAAGTGCCGAGGTGAATGCGAGGGAGAGGCCCCGCCCGCTGCCGTCGCAGGGGGCCTGCGGCGCGACTGCCTCGACGGGGTCGCCGCGGCAATGTGGCAGGAGCTAGAGGGGGTCGCGGGAGGCCAGCTGGAGATGCAGGGGGGGGGGGGGGGGGGCGAGAAGCGGGCGCGCCCGGGCGGGGGGCCCCGGGGCGTGAAGGGGCAGCCCGCCGCGGCTCGCGGCCGCTGAGGCCGCCCCGGGAGGTCGTCGAGGCTTGCGGAGTGGGCGAGGGCCGCCTCCTCGCGAGTTCGGGGGGCGAGCGCGGGAGGTGAATGCGGAGGCGGCCAGGGAGGGCGCCGACGGCCGCGCTGGAGGGGCGGCGGCGAGAGGGATCTCAGGGCGTCGCGCCGAGGTGGGCGGGGGGCCACGGCCGTGGCGTGGAGGGCGCGCCATGCCCTGGGCTGCCGCGCGGGGCAGGGCGGCCAGGCGAGGCTGAGGGCTGGCTTGCCCTGCAAGCGCCGTACCTTGGGGCTTCCGTGTCAGGCGCGGGGCTGGCGGGGCCGGGCGGCCTGCGGGGCGGCGTGCGCGCGAGGGCCTCGGCTCGGCGACCGCGCGTGCTGTCCGCCGTGGGGGATCGAGCCTCGCCCGGGCGGTGCCGTCGAAACGCGTCGAGACGCGTCGTCGTCGTCGCCGTCGCCGTCGCCGTCGCCGTCGCCATCGCCGTCGTCGGCGTCGTCGTCGTCGGCGTCGGCGTCGGCGTCGGCGTCGTCGTCGTCGTCGTCTTCGTCGCCGTCGCCGTTGCCGCCGCCGTCGCCGTCGCCGTCGCTGTCTCGCTGTCGCCGTCGCCGTCGCCGTCGCCGTCGCCATCGCCGTTGCCCTTGCCGTTGCCGTCGCCGCGTCCGTCGTCGTCGTCGTCGTCGTCGTCGTCGTCGTCGCCGTCGCTGTCGCCGTCGTTGTCGCCGTCACCGTCGCCGTCGCCGTCGCCGTCGTCGTCGTCGTCGTCGTACTCGCCGTCGTCATCGTCGTCGTTGATTGCATCGGAAGTCGCAGCGCATCGCCCCCCTTCCTTGACATTCAGACATCCGCACTGCGTCGTCGTCGACGACAGCAGCGGGTCTTCGCGGCGTCACCTAAAATAGGGCATCCGCAGTGCGTCGTCGTCGTCGCTGTCGTCGTCGTCGTCGTCGGATACCCAGGGAGGAGGGGGTCAAGATGCTGGGTGCCCACGTTTCTTTTGACGGCAGTGCGAGCACGGCCGTCCAGAACGGTATTGCACGTGCGTGGTCCTTTTTCGCTAAGAACAAAGCCTCACTATGTGCGAGGCGCGCTCCTTGGGGGAAAAGGATTTTACTTCTGGACCGCGCTGTCAGGGCCGCCGCCTTCCATTGTTTCGGTTCGTTACTGTTCGCGAGAGCCCACTTGGCCCAGATACGTGCTGCTCAGTATAGAATGCTCCGTTACATGATCCGCGTCCCAAAGGATGACCAGGAGGGGGTGGACAACTACATGAAGAAAACTCACCGACGTATCCGTGGGGCCCTGGAGAAATATGGCTCGATCCCCTGGGACCACCACGTGCTTCTATTGAATTATCCCTGGGCTGGCCACATTATGCGTATGGAACACTATGATAAACAGCGTCTCGTGTTCAAGGCTTGTCCATGTAAGAATTAGGAGTATCTCTCCTATCTCAAAGAGCCCATCGGTTCCCAGGGCCACCAGCGTAAGTTCCATGTATGGCGTTGGGAAAAGCAGTTCTATCAGTATTTCGAGAGCCCGCAGTGGAAACACCACACCCAGAACCTCGAGGATTGGCAGGCGTCGTCAGCGGCTTGGCTGGACTGCCGCCTCAAGGACATGGGTTGTTCAAAGGAAACACGTAGAAAAGGGGGGTGGGGAGACAGTTGGGTGTACCTACAGATGGCCTAATTCACCAGGCTTCAAGCATCTTTACACTAATCCTCGTGTGTCTGTCTTGCTGCTGGGCTCGCCCAACACATCTTTTCACATTTCTAGCGTCTCAGTGTCGGCTAGGGCCCTGGTGCTACCGATTGAATGCCGAGAGTACATAAGTAAGTCGTCGTCGTTGCGTCGACGACGACTTCATCGTTGCGTCGGTTTGGACCAAGTTCCGCCAGATGGACCCGGAGTAAACGCTCGCGAGATATCTTGGGATTCCAAAATTTCCAGCCGCGTCGTGATGTCGTTGGTGGCGCTGGATATGGGGTGATTGTGCCATCGAGAGCTGCACGTGCAGCTCCATGCTTTTTGATTGCGTTTACATTTTGGCGTGTAGGGTCGAGTTGCTCCCTGAGGATGTCTTTGAACGCATTCACCCATAACGACTCTTCGACGGTCTTGTTATCGTTACCGCTGGTGCCCCCAGCTTCGGCCAGTTGAGCTTGTAAGCGATGCTGCAATGCACTGGCGCTGTCGGTGTCGACGGGCACGTCCATCTCCTGTAACGTGCTGTGGATCCGGTGCTGCTTGAACAGTTGCTGGACAGGCGTGAGTGGCGCGCTAATGTCGACACCAACCCCCAGGGAAGACGTTGATGTGGTATCGAAATGTGGGGGAAGGGGTTTGTGGTACCGAATTCTATGTAAGAGTTTGAGTCAATCTTGAGCCAACGGGAAGTGCCCCGTTGAGAACCAACCGTTTGAAGATCTTGGAGCGTGCCGAAACACCATCCTCGGGATTCCAACGCCACGAATCAATTTGATTGGTGCGTATTGGCGATCCTGCATTATGCCAGAACGCCATTCGTGGACCTTCCACGCCGCGAAACAACGTAACCATTGCGGTTTGACAATCCTGAATCGTTCCGAAGCGACATTTCTGGTACGTTAGCGACGAATCCGTGACATCTTTCCACTTTTTCAAACGAGAATGCGCAGCGCTAAGGTGAAAACCACATTTTGAAAGTGAACCGCCCTCAATCCGTGCAACTTGTGTATATTTCGAAGACGAGTGCGCGCGGCGTTGAGGCGATAACCACATTTTGAAAACGGCCCGCCCTCAATCCGTGAAACTCTTGCTGCAACTTTTTACAACGAACGTGCGCGGCGCTAAAACGAGAGCCACATTTTGAAAACCGCCCACCCTCGATCCGCGATTTTTGAAGATGATTGTGCGCGGCACGAAAGCGAAAACCACATTTGGGAAGCGGCCCGCCCTCCATCGCTGAAGCGGTTTGCTTTTTTTTAGAGGTTCAGGATCATAAATGGTGGGGACATCTCAGGCGAAACGGCCGGGCCCGCCTTTCGACGGGCCCTGGGGTGCGACAGGGGGGATTTATTAGGAGGAAAAGGAAGAGGATGAGGATGAGGATGAGGATGAGGATGATAATGATGAGGATGATGAGGATGAGGATGAGGATGAGGATGATGATGATGATGATGATGATGATGATGATGCTGCTGATGATGATGATGATGATGATGAGATGATGATGATGATGATGATGATGATGATGATGGTGGTGGTGATGATGATGATGATGATGATGATGATGATGATGATGATGATGATGATGATGATGATGATGAGGATGAGGATGATGATGATGATGATGATGATGATGCTGATTGATGATGATGATGATGATATGATGATGCTGATGATGATGATGATGATGATGATGATGATGATGATGATGATGATGATGATGATGATGATGATGATGATGATGATGATGATGATGATGATGATGATGATGATGATGATGATGATGATGATGATGATGATGATGATGATGATGATGTGATGTGATGTTGGTGGTAGGTGGTGGTGGTGGGTGGAGGAGGAGGAGGAGGAGGAGGAGGAGGAGGAGGAGGAGGAGGAGAGGAGGAGGAGGAGGAGGAGGAGGGAGGAGGAGGAGGAGGAGGAGGAGGAGGAGGAGGAGGAGGAGGAGGAGGAGGAGGAGGGAGGAGGAGGAGGAGGAGGAGGAGGAGGAGGAGGAGGAGGAGGAGGAGGAGGAGAGCGGGCCGCAGCCACTTCTGCCCCAGAGGGCGACGGCCAGCAGGCAGCCGCGGCCCGAGGGCGCCCCGCGGCGCCGCGCCGCCGGCGCGAAATGCTCGCGTGCCAGGGGCTGCCGCCGCGCGGCGGCGCACGCGGCTGCGGCGCCCGCGGGTCGTGGAGGTGGCGCCGGCCGCCAGGGCCCATCGCCCGCGCGGCCTCGGCGGGTGAGGGCGCTCGGGGCCCGTCCCGCTCGGCGCCGGGGCGCCGGCAGTGGCCCGTCGCCCTGCGGGCGGCCGCCGCCGCGGCCGCGGCGCCCGCCGCCCTGAGGTGCCGGCGGCACGCGGGGCACATCGTGAGAGGAGGAAAAGGTATTGATACCGCTGCTCGTCCTGGAGAGGCCTCGTCACCACGGCTGGATGATCTTCGAGATTCTGGTCAGAACGCACCCCGGGAGAGGTCCGTGGAGTAGCGGTACCGGCACCTTTTCGTCCCCCCGCATCGGTGCGCCGGCCGGTGCGCAGCGGGCGTTCGTGGTGGCCGCGCGCGCGGCGGCCGAGGCGCTGCTGCCGGCGCTGCAGTGGGAGGCCGCCGCGGGCAGCGAGGTGCCCCTGAGGCCTCCGCACCTGCTGCGCAGGCTGGCGCCTGCCGCCGCCGCCTGCGGCGTGGCGGAGGGCCGGGTGGAGGCGGCCTGCGCAGACCTGCTCGCGGAGCTCTCGGTGGCGGTGGCGGGGCTCCTCAGGCTGCCCAGCTCGCAGCGGCGTGGCCGGCTGGACGGGCTCCTGGACATGTCCAGCCCCGACCCCAAGGAGCATCCTGGCCGCACTGCGCGCCGCAGGCTGCACCAGGCGCTCGGCAGCCTGGTGCGCTTCGTGCTCCACGACCCTGGCGCGCACCTGGCGGGTTTCGCGGAGGCGGCCGCCTCGCCCGGAGGCCTGCGGCGCTTCGCCGACGGCTTGCTCGAGAGGAAGGGGTCGCTGAGGGCCCTCTGCCAGAGCGCAGTAGCCTTCTCCACGGTCCCGCCTGCGCGGCGCGGGGCGGACGCGTCCGCGGCTGGAGGTGGGCCTGAGGAGAGGGCGCAGCCGGCGGCGGCCTTCGTTCACGGCCTGAAGCAGTGGAGCCGCGCGTTCCACGACTGGTGTGCGGAGGCGGTGGCCCACTTCTTTCTGCTGGATCCAGTCGCCCGCCGCAGCTGGACCGCCGGCCCTCGCGATGCGCGCTCCCGCGTCACTGTGCTGACCGACGAGCTGCGGCGGCGCAGCGCGGCAGCACGCGTCCGCAGCGGCGCGAGGCTGGCGGACCCAGCCTGGGCGGAGCTCGTGCGCGAGGCCGCGGGCGAGGTGCTTCTGCCGATCGGCGCGAGGCCCAGGCTGCTGGACGTCGGCAGCTGTGGCAACTACTTCGGGCTGGTTCACGGAGAGCGCCTCGACGTGCTGCCGCTCGACCTGGCCCCCGCCCACCCGTCCGTCCACGCGTGCGACTTCCTGGAGCTGGTGGTGGACCCGCCGGGCGCCGAGCAGCAGCGGATCCTGGACGAGCACGGGCGCCCCACGGTCAGGCGGCTGGCCGCAGGGGGCTTTGACGTCGTGGTGATGTCGCTGCTGCTGTCGGTGCTCCCGGGTGCAGAGGCGCGCGGCGCCGCGGTGGCCAAAGCCCGCCGCCTGCTGCGGGAGCGGCCGGGGCGAGGCCTGCTGATCATCGCGGACACCGCGGGGGCCGTGGGGCGGCACGCGGACGCTGGCGCCAGGCGCAGCGGCTGGGTCTCGGCGGTGGAGGCGAACGGCTTCCGGCTGGCGCGGGACCCGCAGATGCACCTGTCGCGGCTGCGCGAGAGGTCCCCCGCCAGAGCAGTTCCATGATTACCCACCGCTTCCCGATTCCGAGTGGCGCCCCGGGCTCTCGAGGAGTGGTGGAGAAGTGGCCCGCCCGCGTTGGCGGGCAGATGTTCGCATCCACCGCTCCCCGAGCCCCCGGGACACGACCCCGCGGCAGTCGATGTGGACATGAGATCCGACGTTGCCGAACATAAGGCGTCACCGCGAGGAATCACCACGGGAGCACTCGACCCCATCTGTCCGCGGCAGCTGTGAATCGGATGGTCCTGGGGCCAGAAGCCCGGCGAAGAAGCCGGGCGACGACGCCCGCTTCCCCCAGAGAGGGCGACACCCAGACCCCCGACGTCGCGATTTTTCCCGACGTGCCCCTCAGCAGTCTGGACCCCTTTTCCAGGAACTGTTTTTTTTTATCCCGAGTCGTTTTCCAACGACCCCCGGGGCCGGGGAAGGGCCCTGGGAGGCCGAGTCGTGGCGAACCCCCCCCCCGTCGTGTTTTGTCCACCGCGCGAGGGGGTCTGCGCACCCGGAGCGCGCGCCGTCCGCACCTGGCTTGGCCCCAGACATCCGACGTCTCGACTTCTTCGAGACGCCGGGCCCCCGACCTCCCGACCACTTCCCCGGGACCGCTTTCTCATCCCGAGCCCTTCTCGGACGGCCCCGAGAGGCCCGGCGAGGGCCCCGAGGGGCCAAAAAACCTGCGAGAGGCCTCCGCCCCGACTCCTTCTCGGGGCGCCCGAGGCCTGCCTTGCGGCGCACGATCAGGAGCGAAAGAAGGACGTACACGTACATGAATCCACGTTGGTTTCGAGAGCTCGCATTGCGCGAATGCTCGTGTCGCGCGGACGGTCTCGCGGGTCGAGGGGCCGTGGTCGTGTACACAGCTGGGCGCGCACGTCCTTTCGTGGGCTCCCTACCCAGAGCCCCGACGTCATGATTTTTTCGCGACGCGACCCCCAGAGGTCCGGACCCATTCCCCGGGACCGGCTTCTCCTCCCGAGTCGTTTTCTGACGGTCCTGAGGGCCGGCATAGGGCCCCCGGAGGCCGAAACTGGCGAAAAGCCTCGCGCCGTGATTTTTTCTCATGACTCGATAGGGGGTCTGGGTGTCTGGCTTGGCGCACGAGGTAGGGCGACGAGATCTATACATATCCACTGCTCCTGGCCAGGCCCATCCTGGGCCCAGGAGCTGTGTATATGCCTCCCTGGCCTGGCCAGGAGGGCGTATACACAGCTCCTGGGCCCAGGATGGGCCTGGCCAGGAGCAGTGGATATGCATAGATCTCGTCGCCCTACGAGGGGCCCCGGCGGCGTCTTCTCGCACCGGGCCTTCTGCTGGACCTTCACCACGGGCCCGTGCCCGCCCGGGGGCGCCGGCCCGCGGCCCGTGCCGCTGCGCGGCGAGGAGCGGCGGCCCCGGCCGCTGGCGCCGGAGAGGGCCGCGGCGCAGGCGGTCGGGAGCCTGCAGTCGGGGCCCTGAACCCAGACCCCCTCGAGTCATGAAAAAATCACGACGGGAGGTTTTTCGCTATTTTCGGCCTCCAGGGGCCCTCACCGGGCCTCGGGAGCGTCAAAAAACGACTCAGGATGAAAAGCCGGTCCCGGGGAATGGGTCCGGGCCTCTGGGGGTCGCGTCATGAAAAAATCATGACGTGGGGGGCGTCTCGAAAAAATCGAGGCAGAGGTTTTTCATAGTTTTTGGCCCCTCGGGGCCCTCGCCGGGCCTCGGGGCCGTCAACAAAACGACTCGGGAGGAGAAACCGGTCCCAGGGAAGTGGTCGCGAGGTCGGAGGCCCGTGTCTCGAAAAAATCGAGACGTCGGACGTCTGGGGTCGGGGCCCTGAAGAAGGAACCCTTTTCGTTGGGGAGGGGCTCGGTGTTCCTTCATCGTGCCACACCTTGCCGAAGGTTTTCCCCACATTTTCGAGGGGAAGTCGAGGTTCAGCTTGTGGGAAAAGGGGCCTGGTTCCTGAGTCGGGGTTCCTTAGGTCAACGCCTCGACTGTATTGGCGTTTACTTAACTGCCCGGGGCGTTCACTAAACAGCCCTGCTCTGTTTGATTCCTTTTCTGTGGGTGCGTTGACTAGGCGGCTTCGCGCGTCGGGGTGGTTCGGTATCGGCGGGGATTTTCTGCCCTCTACTTGAGACTGATGATGTTCCAACCTGAGCCTTGACCACCTGGAAGAGTTTCGAGCACCAGGAACGAGTACCGAAACTGGAGGGTTTTCACGTGTCGGGTCCTTGGAGACACTCGTCCGACACTGTTTCGACACTATTTCGGCAGTTTTTTGGGTGCTCGAAATCCTTTCTGCGACGTGATCCTTAGGTACGACTGGAACAACATAACTCGAGACAGGGGTTCGTGCAAACGGGGGTCAGCCAGAGCGCCCGCCTGCAGGGCCAGGGTCGCACTGACCCGGGCCTGGGTGCAGGATCCTGCAGGATCCTGCACGGTCCTGCGCACTGGCCCGCGCTTGGGCGCAGGATCGGCGGCACCCCAACATACCTATACTACATGTGCGTCGCCCCCCCAGGGGCGACGCGCGCACAGAGAAATCTTATAGCATACTCCAGATTTCGTAATAAAGGGAGGGGGGTCTCATTTCGGGGGGGGTCTCTTCCAGGCTATCTTGGAGGGCCTGGGGGGTCTGGGGACGATGTTTTGGAGGGTTCTCCCACGGGGGAGGTCTGAAATGGCCTGTCTTGGAGGGTCCAGACCCCCTCCCTTTCAGTACGAAATCTGGAGTGTGCGTTTTGGCGGGCGCTCTCTGGCCACGCCGCTCGGGAAACGATCTACTGCAAGACGGGCATGTCAGACATGTTCGCGTCGGCCGCGCGCCTCCCCGGAGAGCCTCCAGTACCGGTACGTCTCCGGGCGCCCCACGGGCCCTCGCAGGAGCCTGCCGGGCCTGGCGGACCCCGGGACAGGCCTCGCCGCCCCATGGCCGCACCGCCCGACGTATCGGGGAAACGCAAGACCCGAGTAAGCCGGAACTCGGGTCTGCCGACGTTTTCTTGACGAGCGCGTCCTGGATTTTGGCGGTCCAGTTTTCGTGGGATGTCTGCCGCGGGAGCTCGCGTCGAATTTCAGGTTGGGCCTCGTCATTTTCATGATGGCCCCGTCGGGCCAGCCCGGGTCCCCCGAAGCCGACGCCGAAGCCGACGCCGAAGCCGACGCCGAACCCGACGCCGAACCCGACGCCGAACCCGACGCCGAACCCGACGCCAGACCCGACGCCGAGGCCGACGCCGAACCCGACGCCGACCCCGACGCCGTACCCGACGCCGAAGCCGACGCCGAGCCCGACGCCGAACCCGACGCCGTACCCGAGTCTTACCTCTCCCCGAACGTAGCGCAACGGTTGAAAAGCCCTACGACGGGCAGCAGGCATCCAACGACCCCCCCCCCAAACCGCCGCCTAGTGCGCAGGGTCCTGCAGGGCTTAAGTCGGGCGTGTCCCCCTACAGAGGGATTTTCGACGAAAAATAAACAAATACCCCAAGCATACCCCCAAAAAGGTAAACACATATTCAAAAGATAGCCCCCAGACTATTTTTGGACTATTTTTTGGAGTATTTTTGGGGGTAGTTTGTATTTTCCGTCGAACATCCCCCCTGTAGGGGGGCAGGCCCGACTAAGTGCGGGGCCCGGCTGGCCCGGGCTTGGCCCGGCCAGGGTCCGAAGCCTCCCCGGAGGCCGCGCGGGCGGAGCGGCGGGGGCTGCGCGCGCAGAGGGCGGCGCTGCTGGCCGAGGTGCGCGCGGGCAGGCGCGGGGCCGCCGAGGCGCCCCCCGGTGGTCCTCGAGGGCAAAAGGATCCCTTCTGACCTGGAGGCGGCCCTGCCCCTCTGCAGGAGGAATGCTCAAAGATCGTAGATCAAATAGTCAGGGGACCATTTTTGGGACATCGTTCGATGATTTCCTGGGGTCATTTCAGTGTTTCGTCCAAAGCCACCCCCCCTGCAGGAGGACAGGCCCGACTTGGCCTTCACCCTGGTAGCACGAGGAAGACGCGGCCTCACCGAGGTCCCCATCTCCTCATCACAGGGCTCATGGATCTGGGCGGCTGGATTCGATACATCTGCAGAGAGATGCTCCCTCTATCTGAACAGCCTCAAACGTATCCCGATCCCTAAGATGCGCGATCAAAAGGCGAGGACAATCTCAGGGATAGGCCCCCCCCCAAACCGAGGGAATCCTCAAGATCGGCATCGAGGTGAGGTGATGCCCAACACAGCGACAGGGATATGCTTCAAACTGGCAACTGCCCCTGCTGTTCTTGGCCCCTCTGGCTCCATCTGTTGGCTTGCTCGGGGCAGGCGCGGGCCCGCCGAGTGCGCCCCTGGGGCTCGCGGCGGCGGGCAGAGGGGGGCCGCCGAGGGGGGCGGGTGCCGAGCGGGAGCGCGCGAGCGGCGACGGCAGGCCCGTGCAGGTGCGCCTCAGCGGTCTTTGGGGCTCTGGGGATGCGCGGTCGCACGGGCACGAGGAGGAGGAAGTGGAGGAGGAGGAGGAAATGGAGGAGGAGGAGGAGGAGGAGGAGGAGGAGGAGGAGGAGGAGGAGGAGGAGGAGGAGGAGGAGGAGCCCGCGCGGGGCACACCATGGACGTGCCCATGCACCGCCGGCTTGTCGGAGCCTGAGAAGAGTGTAGCTCGCTTCTGGACGCCCGAAATGGGTACGGAAAGAATGGGCACAATGCCCAACAGCAGTCCCTGTTCATTTTGAACAGGATTCGCTGTCCGCGCCGCCGCGGCCTGTGTCCATTTGAGACAGGAGGCCGCCTGCCCAACAGCGGCCGCTGTTGGTTTGGGGCAACATTTGTTGTTTGGCATTGTGCCCATTCTTTCGGTACCCATTTCGGGTGTCCAAATCGCTGCCTCAGGCGTAGTAGGCTCAGTGCGAGCAGCGCCCGGTGCTGTGGCTCAGAGGCATTTCCCCCCAATCGCTCGCGCACGTGTCGCTTCTCCGTGGCGGACGCCCGCGCGCTCGGTCCCCGCCCCCGCGGCCGAGGCTTCTGCGCCCCGCCCCCTGCGTGGGAAAGTGGCTGTCCTTGGCGACGGGTCGGGGGGGGCCCATGCGGCGCCGACCCTCGCGGGACGGTGCGCGGACGCGCCCTCCTCATTTCTGCAAGCGGATGCGAATGGAGAGAGCGGCGACGGGCGCGGGGGCCCTCTGCCCCTGCAGGGAAGACTGCGCAGACTGCTCCCCGCTCCGAGTCGCCAGCCTTCGCGTTGGCGAGTCGGGAGGGTCGGGCAAGGTTCTCTCTTCGTGACGGTCCATGAGCCATTGGTCAAGTCGTGGTTCAAGCATCGATTCCGCGACAAGAGCGGTGCGAACCAGGATATTTGGTCCAGGCCGCGCGTGGGGCTCACGAAGAGGGTCGCGGGAGCACATGGACGAAACCCCGCGCAGTGGCGCTTTGTGAGACCCTTTTTGTGAACCCGGGGCAGCGCTCTGGCTGATCAGGGGGGCGGGGTTGGCGGCGGGCAGGGGGCGGGCAACGTCGGTGGAAGCAGGAGAACGTTGGGCGGACCACCGGAATTCCGTATGTACCCAGAGCCCTGGCACTTGCAGCCGAGGCCGACCCACAGAGTGGGGAGCGGGCCCAGGCCGTCAGGCGTGTGCTTCCGCTTGGACTCATCAGTGCCATGTCCGCCTCCATCGCCAGATCCAAGCGGGAGTCAAGTGGCAGTGCGGTCGTGCTGCCTGCGCGAGCTGCCGTGGTTCCCCTCCCCCTCAGCCCGATGGTGGCGTAGCGGGAACAAAGTGCAGGAGTGCACTGGCAGCAGGCAGAGATGTGCACCCATCGCATACAGTGCAGAGGTGGGAGTGCTGCCTCATGAGTCCTGCACCGCACGCAGGAAGTACGCGACGGTGGATGGCAGGCACTTGTCGTCTTGTCGTCAGAGTACACGGGGCCCAGTCGTAAGGGCAACGAGAATTCAATCCGCATCGAGGGGGGCAAGTGCCCTCGCAGAGAGGGCCCCCCCAAAAGGATTTGCGTGTTGCCCTCATTGCGCGCGACACAAACAGCCCAACGAATGGCGCCCCAGCCGAGTCCCCTGGGGATGACGGCGGCCCGTCGGGCGTGTTAACGGGTCCCGGCCCCCCCGTCGGGGGGGATGGGTGACTGTCTGCCGTGGTGTCTCTCGTGGTTCGGTCTTTACCAGGCCCTGGTCCTGTCAGCAGTTTCGGTTCCTGGGCTTGGTCGAATGATCTGAAGGGTTCTCCTCCCCCTCCCCCCTTACCGTTCCGAGCGGGCGGGGTTCCTGGGCACGTCGGCCTTCGGGGTTCGAGCGGCCAGGGGAGGGGCCAGCCATGAGGGCAAGGGAGGGGCATGGGGGGGGTACAGGGTAAGGACCAACGTTCGGGGGGGGGGGGTCGTCTTGGTGTGTTTGTTTGTGTGTGTGTGTGTGTGTTCGTGTGTGTGTGTGTGAGTGTGTGTATGTGCTCTCCCTTTTCCTCGCCACCCACGCCCAGATGGCCATGTGTTGCCCCCCCGCTGGGCGGGCCCGCGCGCGCACCAGCTGTGGTCTCGGCCGCGCGTCGTCGCTGCGCTTCGTGGTGGCCACACCACTTTGATTTACTCCGCTTCGTCGCTGCGCAAGTGTTTGTGTGTGTGTGTGTGTGTGTGTGTGTGGGTGTCCGCATGATCTGGCCCGGCCGCGCGCGCTCTCCCGCTTGATTGCCTACGTCGCGCCACCGCGTGCGTGGCCGCAATGCCAAAAAGTATGTTCGTGTGTGTGTGTGTGTGTGCGTGTGTGCGTGTGTGTGTGTGTGTGTGTGTGTGTCTGTGTGTGTGTGTGTGTGCGGGTGCGTGTGCGTGTGCGTGTGCGTGTGCGTGTGTTTGTGTGTGTGTGTGTGTGTGCGTGCGTGCGTGTGTGTGTGTGTGTGTGTGTGTGAGTGCGGAAGGTAGGCGAATCCCCGAAGACCCATATGGATGTGATGGAGAAGGACGCGGCCTGTGAGAATTGCACTCGCCAGCACCAATTTCTAGGGATGATCCTTTCATCGACCCGGATTCCTTTGTGATGGCCCCGGGGCCCGAAACGGGGCCCCGCAGTCCCAATCGAGGGAAGCCCGCTGGTTGGCAAAAACAGCTCGTCGGATACTCGGGCTTTCAGATCATCACTCCGGTGTCTGGCGGCCGTCCGGGACGGTCCGGGCAGCCCCGAGGAGCCCTCGGCGAGGCGCAGCTGCTGGAGCGCATCCCGAGGCCGGGAAACCGTCGAGGATCACGAAACACATTGGAAAGCCTCGGGGCGGGCGCCGGGTGGCCCACGTCAAGGAAAGCCCGTCGGTTGACAAAGCCATATCGTCGGAGATCCTGGCGATTGGCCCTCTCACTGCAGTGTATCTCTGTGACTCGTGACACTTGTAAGGTGTTTGCAACTCGCTTGCAAGCTACATGCATGCGGGCTGCGAGTTCGCTTGCCTGCTCGAAGCTGGGTCTTCGCGAGCACTCAGACTCGGAGAGCTCGGGCGGACTTGCAGACCACTTGTAGGCGCCTTGCAAGTGGGCTGCAACCACCTTGTGCACCTGTTGCAGGTAGCAGGGTGCCTCGGAGAGGCGCGCGCTTCGCGGTGCGCGGCGGCCGCGGCCGTGGCCGCCCCCCACTCAGGAGTACGTCGGCCACGCGCGCTGCCTGCCCGAGGCCGCAGGGGGGGGGTGTGAGGAGGAGGAGGCGGAGGAGGAGGAGGAGGAGGAGGAGGCGGAGGAGGAGCAGGAGGAGGAGGAGGAGGAGGAGGAGGACCAGTGTAAACCCAAGCTTCGTCAACGATGCTGCAATACACCCTCTCTACAAACACCCTCCGAACATGCCCCTTGCAAGGGTTCATTTTCATTGAGGGAAGTTTCCGTTGGGAGACAACCGTTTGATCGTCCTGAACTGTGCCATAACACCATTCCTGGACTTCAGCGCCGTGAATCACTGTTTTTTTGCGTCATGACGATTCTGCATCGTGCCAGGATGCCATTCCTGGGACTTCAACACAGCGAAGCAACGAAACGGTTGCGCCCTGACAGTCCGAAACCGTGCCAGAAAACCGTTTCTGGGACGTTGCCGTGATCATCCGTGAGACTGTTGTAAGCTCTTCAAACGGATGTGCGCGGCGCTAAGGCGAGAGCCACATCTTGAAAAGGAATAGCCCTCCATCCGGGAGGCTCCTGCGATCTTCTAACACGAATATGCGCGCCAAAGCGGCAGCCACATCTTGCGAAGGAGCCGCCCTGCATGCGTGAAGCTCTTGCGATGCTCAACAGGAGCGTGCGCGGCGCCAAGGCGGCAGCCACGTTTTGCAAAGGAGCCGCCTTCCATCCGAGAAGCTCTTGCAAGCCTGTGGGATGAATGTGCGCGGTGATACGGCGAGATCAACATTTTGGAAGCGGCCCGCCCCCCCATCTGTGAAAGTCTTGCAAATTTCAAGTTTGAGGGCCATCTGTGGTGAGGAAGTCTCATGCGGAAAGCCGGGCCCGCCCTACCAACACGTCTCGGGGTGTGACAGGGAGGATTTATTCATAAGGACATGTAATGGAGAGGGGGACAGGAGGAGGGGGAGGAGGAGGAGGAGGAGGAGGACGAGGAGGAGGACGAGGGGGATGGGGGAGCGGGAATGGAAGGAAGGAGTGGGAGGGGGAGGGAGGAGGGACGAGGGAGGAGGGAGGAGGCAGGAGGGAGGAGGGAGGAGGGTGGATGGAGGAGGGTGGAGGGGAAAGGGAAGGGGGAGGAGGGAAGAGGTAGGGAGGGAGGGAGGGAGGAGGAGGAGGATGAGGAGGAGAAGGATGTACAGGAGCAAGAGGATGAGGATGAGGATAGGGATGCTGATGTGGATGATGATGGGAATGCTGATGATGATGCTGCTGATGATGCTGATGATGATTATGATGCTCATGATGATGCTCATGATGACGATGCTGATGCTGATGGTGCTGATGATGCTGATGATGATGCTGCTGGTGCTGATACTGATGATGATGCTGATTCTGATGACGATGACGATGTCGATGCTGATACTACTGATGATGATGGCGATGATATCGGTGGTGTTGCTGATACTGACGGTGCTGATGATGCTGATCATGTGGATGATGTTGGGAATGTTGCTCATGATGATGCTCAGGATGGTACTCATGCTGACTATGATTATATGATGATGATGCTGCTGCTGCTGCTGATGATGATGATGATGATTGTGATGATGCTGATGATGAGGCTGATGATGACGATGGATTTGATGATGCCGATGCTGAGTATGTTTATGATGATGATGGTGGTGGTTGTAGTGGTAACGATGCGGACGACGATGGCGATGCTGGTGGTGATGATGATGCTGTTGGTGGTGATGATGGTGATGGTGGTCGTGATGGTGACGATGGCGATGCCGATGACGATGATGATGCTGCTGATGCTGATGATGATGATGCTGAGTATGCCGATGACGATGCTGATGCTGACGACGAGGATTATGCTGATTCTGATGATGGTGATGCTGTTAATGCTGATGATGCTGATGCTGCTGATGATGATGTTGATACTGATGATGCTGATGGTGCTGACGACTAATGGTGATGGTGGTGGTGCTGCTGCTGCTGATGATGCTGATGGTGATGATGATGATGATGATGATGATGATGATGATGATGATGATGATGATGATGATGATGATGATGGTGGTAATGGTGGTGCTGATGCTGATGCTGATGCTGATGCTGATGCTGATGCTGAATATGCTGATGCTGCTGCTGATGCTGCTGGTAATGATGATTGTGTTAGTGGTGGTCATGATGCTGCTGCTGCTGCTGCTGCTGCTGAGGATTATGGTGAAAACGAAGATGCTGCTGCTGTTGCAGATGACGATGATGATACTGATGGTGATGATGATTGTGGTGGTGGTGGCGGTGGGATGGGTGAGGAGGAGGATGAGGAACACGAGGCCATCAATTCGACCAATAATCACCAGACCAATCATACGACTGCGAATCCGAGTACTACAGGTAATCGTACTAATGAGAAAGCGGAACACCGATGCACTAACAATAACATTTACATTCAGAAGAATAACAGGCTGAACCATATGAGTGATAAGACAGCTGAGGACAGCACGAACCATACAACTACTGCACTTTGCCCTGTCCCCCCCCCCAAGCCCCAGCGTGCACCACCGTCGCCTCTTGGGGCGCTCTTGGGCCGCTCGTTGGCGCTCTGGAGGCCGCCTGGGGGACCTCGTGGCCCCCTCTTGGGCCTTTCTTGGGCCATCTAGGGGCTACCCCAGATTTCGTAATAAAGGGAGGGGGGTCTCATTTCGGGGGGGGGTCTCTTCCAGGCTATCTTGGAGGGCCTGGGGGGGTCTGGGGACGGTGTTTTGGAGGGTTCTCCCACGGGGGGGGGGTCTGAAATGGCTTGTCTTGGGGGTCCAGACCCCCTCCCTTTTATTACGAAATCTGGAGTATCCTGGATCCATCCTGAGGTTCCAAAAGCGCATCGGGAACAACACGGCGAGACGGCAACCATCGCTGTTGTTCCCAAGGTGCCTGAAGCATTTTGGCTTCTTGGGGGGTCCTGATTGAGGGCTCCGAGAACACTTTGAACCGTTTGGTGGCCCTCGTCGGGCCCCCTGGTGTATGTCGGAAGCTATCTTGAACCATCGTCGGCAATCTTGAGCCATCGAGGAGGCCATCTTGGAGGCCATCTTGGAGCATCGGAGGCCCCCTTGAAGCCATCTTGGGCCATCTTTACCGCTCCAACGATTTGCGGCCCAGCCCGAAACACATTAGGGAGGGTACGGGGGGGAGGTCATCTTCCCGAGAGGGAAGAGGTTCTTTGGAAGAAGAAGGACAGACTTCGCCATATCACCTTCGCCCAAACTATTGGGGGGACTCCATTATAGTACCTACCTTCTAAGTTCTACTTTTTACTTGCTACTTTCTACCCTACTAAACTCAACTCAGCTTTCCTATATTATATTATATAATATTCTACTCTACTCTACCCTACTCTATTATATCCTTTTCAGCTCTACTCTAGTATACTCTACTCTGCTGGATTCTAATACACACTTACACTATACATGCTGTTCTCCACCCCTCCCCCGCAGACGCCGACAGGTCAGAACGCCCGGCTCCGCGTATAGTTTTTGACACATAGGATCCCCCTACGTTGGTCGACCGTTTGTGCTTTTCCAATCCGAATGTTTTTGGTCCTTCCAGAATGGCGCTTCCGATCCAGCGTCAGCTTCATTTTCGCATTCTCGGCCCCTCCAGATTATACTCCCGCTGCAGCGCTGTCATCATTTAAGTGGTCCAGTTCTGCCCACTCGTGCTCCCGCTGCAGCGTGGGCCTCATTTGCGGATCGGCGCCTTGCTCCCGTCGTTCAGAATGGCGCTCTCGCCCCAGCGTGGGCCACCTTTCTGGATCCGAGTCTTTATTAGTTGTTGTCGACCCCTTGATTTCCCCTCCTCCGCCTTCCGCTGGTCCCCCTTTTCCGCCCGTGACTTCCACTCTAGTTCATGCTGCTGATGCTGCTGCTGCTGCTGCTGCTGTTCGTCGTCGTCCTTTTCCTCCTGCTCACCCGCCACCATGTCCTCTTGTGCACGCAGCTTTTTTTCCGATTGCGCAAAACATGATGTGATCTTTTGGCCAGAGTTGCAGGTCGGCTATGACACGAGGCCGCGGATAGAGGAAACATCTGCGCAATGGGAAGGGATGGGAGGGAGGGATAGGATGTCAGGTGAGGCGCGAGCGCACCTAGCTTGACTCTAATCTCCTCTCCTCTCTTCTCCTCGCCTCCTCCCCTACTCTACTCTTAGCAGACGAAGCCATGCGGACAGCAAAGGAAGCCATGCGGATAGCTTGGACGAAGCCATGCGGATTGCAAAGGAAGCCATTCGGATAGTTTGACGAATGTAGGTGCAACATAGGGCAGGGGAGCACCGGACCAGTTCTCTGTGGATTGAGCTGGGATGCGCAGAGGCAAGCCTATTCGGAGAAGGCGCCCGACCCGCCATCCGTGTAACGCCTGGGATCTTTCCAGACACCTGTGCGCGGCGCCAAGGCCAGAGCCACACATTAAAAACGATTGGCCCCCCATCCGTGCTGCTGCCAGGCATGCCAGTTGTGTGATCTCCCCTTGCCGGGCAGTCTGCTTAAGCGAGGCCCCCGCCTGGCCTGCGGACACGGCCGGAGGTGCGACAGCCCTTTGGACGGGACGCCTTCTCTTCCCCGTGGCCCTCCGCGGCGTGGCCCGGGAGGTGTGGCGGGAGGAGGAGGAGGAGGAGGAGGAGGAGGAGGAGGAGGAGGAGGAGGAGGAGGAGGAGGAGGAGGGGAGGAGGAGGATGGAGGAGGAGGAGGAGGAGGAGGAGGAGGAGGAGGAGGAGGGAGGAGGAGGAGAGGAGGAGGAGGAGGAGGGAGGAGGAGGAGGAGGAGGAGGAGGAGGAGGAGGACGAGGGGGGGGGAGGGGAGGGGGAGGAGGAGGAGGGGAGGAGAGGAGGAGGAGGGGAAGGAGCGGAAGGTGTGGCGGGACCCCCGAGGCACGGTCGACGTGCCGTCACGCGCCTTCCCCTCCCGCCGCGGCTCCTTGCCAGGCGCTGCGCCACGCCGGCCTGTGGAACGCCACCAGTGGAGCCGCCGAGCTCGCGGAGGATGCGCTGCTGGGGCTGGCTCTTGGGGGGGGGGGGGGTCCTTCAACGGCGGTCACGTTCAGTGGCCTGAAACCTCGCCGGCCCACCTGCTTTTCCCACCTTGCCGTTCGTTCTTGCCGCCGGGACAGTTCGATCGCCCGATCATTGTTCGTGCAACGTTGCAGGAGGAGTAGGATGAGGAGCAGGGGACAGGGAACGGGGAGCAGGGAGGCGGACGAGGACAGGGTAGAGGAAGAGGACGAGGAGCAGGAGGAGCAGGAGGGGGAGGAGGAGGAGGAGGGGGAGGAGGGGGAGGAGGAGGAGGAGGAGGAGGAGGAGGAGAAGCAGGAGGAGGAGGAGGAGGAGCAGGAGGAGGAGGAGGCTGGAACCTGGCGCGGCTGCAAAAGGAGCACGACAGAGCAGCGATGCATACGGCATGCAGGTCGCCAGCTGCACGTTGTTGTGATGGCAGGTTCAGTGCTGTGACAGGCCAGTGACAGGGATGGCTCAGTCGATGGTGGTTGGGCATACCGTTCCTCTGCGAATGCTCGCCCCGTCGTGCTGCTGCTTCTGCTCCTCCTCCTTTGCCTCCTCCTCCTCTGCCTCCTCCTCCCCCGCCTCCCTCTTGCAGGGCCACTGTCACGGGCCTCCTGCTAAAGCTGGGAGGGAGCATGTCCCGATTTTTCTGAGGATCTCCCGAAGAACGGTGGCGGTTCTCTCCCAACACGTGGACTGTTTTGCGTGCTCAGGCTTGACCTGGTCTCCACGGGCTTCTGCTTCTGAATCTGAATTTGAATCCTCCTCCCTCCTCTACCTCCTCTCCCGCCTCTCCCTCCTCTCCCTCCTCTTCCTCCTCTCCCCCCCTCCCTCCATCTTCCCTCCTCCCTCTCCCTGCTCTTCCCCCTCCTTCCTCCCTTCAAGCCTCCCTTTTCTCTCCTTGCGCTCCTCGTTCTCCTGCTCCTCCTCCTCCTCCTCCTCCTCCTCCAACTCTTCATCATTTCCCCCTTCTCCTCCGCACCCTCCTTCCCTTCCTTCTCCGCCCTCTCTTCCTCTCCCGCCTCGGCGGCGCCAAACCGACTACCAGAACCGAGCCACGACCTCACACCAGGGCCCCCCTTCTCACCTGCAGGGCTCTCGACCGCGGCGCGGACCACCCCATCCGCCGCCGTGCTGAGCATGCGCGCGGACCACTACCCCTCGCCGTGCTGAGCATGCTCGGGCCGCCGGGCTTGTCGCCCCGACAGGCTTTCTCTGCCCCGCCCACGGGCGCCCAGGTTGGCCACCGGGTCCGTGTGCGCGCCCTGTCTGGCCCCCCGTGGGAGGGTGTCCCCCCGTGAGGGGCCCGGGGCGCGTCGAGGCCGGCCGGGGCTACCCGGGGAGGCTGTCTGTGCGCAGCCCGAAGCTTCCGTGCGCGGCCTGGAGCCTCACCTCCCTCGTGCCCGCTTCCCCTCCCCTCGCCTCTCCCTCCCTCGTGCTCCTGCCGCTCCTCCTGTCGTGTCCGCACCGCGCACCGCGCCGGCCCCTGGGCGCCTCCGCAGCGCGACGGCGCCACCGCGGAGCGCCGCGCGGGGTCGTCGGAGTTCGGGCCCAGACGGGCGCGAGCAGGGCCGCGGAGCGATTCCGAGGGGGGAAGAGGAGGCTGCTATCTCATAGATCGCCTGGCAGGAGCGGGCGTGACCAGGGGGGAGGGACAGGGGGAGGGAGTGATGCTGAAGGGGGAATGACGGAGATCGCCTTCTATCCCCTGGCGGCAGTGGGCGTGGCTGTGGGCGGGGGGGGGGTGAGGAGAGGAGGGGGCAGGTCGCGTCGCGGTTTGCGCTGGCGCCGTCTGGGAACGCTTAAGTTTGGCTTATTTCCAGACGGCGCCAGCGCGAATCGTGAGGTGACCAGGGTGGGGTGGGGGGGCTGGGCCGGTCACGGGCGTTATTGCGAGCCATTATTGTTCGACGTGGAGGTCCCCACATGTGCATCTCATACTCCTGTCATGTTTCGCTGAGGAATCCGGTCAACGAGTATCTGGGTGTTGAGCGAGTCCGCGTAGACGACACACGCGGCAATGACGGTGACGACAGCGACGATTCCAGTGACGTTTTCTTCTTCCTCCTCCTCCTCCTCCTCCTTCTCCTCCTCCTCCTCTTCCTCCTCATCTGGACATCCTTCAGGAGAGGCGAGGGAAAACAAGTGGAAAAACGAGGGGGACTTCCTCTTGCCGTTCTCCCCGCGGCAATTCAGGCAAACGCGCATGGCGTTGCTGCGCCCGCTGTCTGGCGTGCTACTCGCGGCGCCTGCTTGCACTTGGGGTGCCCAAGTGCCACACACGCTATATCGCGGAATCCATTTGTGTGTGAGCCTTGGTGCGAGTGAACGTGGGCGTGGGTGATCTGAGCGTGAGCGAGTCGGGGTGTGAGTGGATCTGGGTATGACCGATCCTGACTGTGAGTGAGTCTTGATCTAGTCCGTGTGGGTACGACTTGGCCTGAGTAGGAGTTCGCCTGATCGCGAGCGAGTCTCAGTGCGAGTGGGTCTCAGTGTGGGTGAGTCTAAGTGCGGGTGAGTTTGATGTTGAATGTGATAATACTAATCCGGCTATGAGCGAGGTTGGGTGCGAAGTAGTCTGAGTGTGAGTGGGTCGGGGGGCTCGTGGGGCTAAGCGTGAGTGAGTATGACCGTGAGTTGGTTCGGGTGTGGGTGAGCCTCAGCTTGTGCGAGTACGAGTATCAGCGAGTACGTATGTGGGGTCCGAGTATGATCGGATTTGAGTGTGAGCAAGTACGAACGTGATGAACAACTTTGAGTGCAAAAAGAGGTCGTGATGAGTAATTCCGAGTGCGAGTGAGCTGGTCTGGTATTGGGAAAAAGGGGTCGGGATGCGAGTCAGCGAACGAGGAACACACACAGCCAAACAACATCTGGTGTGTGTGTGTGTGTGTGTGTGTGTGTGTGTGTGTGTGTGTGTGTGTGTGTGTGTGTGTGTGTGTGGGGGGTGGGGGTGGGGGTGGGGCAGATGCAAGCAAACCGTTTGAGACATCCCCCCAATTTGAGCGCGAATGCGCTTGAGTCTGAGTGCGAGTGAGTCTGAAGGTGGACGAGTGGGGTTGCGTGAATATGAGTGTGAATTAGTACGGGTATAAGCGTTTCTGAATTTGCGTGAATCTGAATCTGAGCGAGTCTATGAGTGAGCCTGCGTGTGAGTGGGTTAGAGTATGGGTGAATATGAATGGGGTGAGTCAGTCTGGGTGAAAAAAGAGGTGCTACTGAATTCGCCTGCGCGTGAGTGCGTGCGTCGGAATGAGGACGATGAGGAGGAAAAGGAGGAGGAGGAAGAGGAGGAGGAGGAGGAAAGCCAGCGTGAAACCAAGAGTCATCAACGATGTTGAAGTACACCGTCCCTCCAAGATCATCCTTCGTAGGTCCGCGCACAGGGGTCATTCCCATGGAGGGAATTGCCCCGTTGGGGGACAATCGTGTGAACAGATTGAAGCGCGCCGAAGCTCAATTCTTTGGGCTTCAACGCCACGACTTAATCTAACTGTCACGTTTTGGCGATCTGGAGGCGTGCCAGAATACTGATCATGGGACGCCAACACCGCGATGAACGTAACAATTGCGCCCCGACGGTCCTGAATGGTTCCAAAACACCGTTTCTGATACGGTAACCATGAGAACCCGTATAACTCCTGCAATTGTTTACAACGAGTGCGCGCGGCCTTAAAGCGAGAGTCGCAGTTTAAAAAGGAGCCGCCCTCAACCCGTGAAGCTCTGGAAAAAGAAACGGATGTGCGCGGCGCTAACGCGAGAGCCACATGTCGAAAATGACCCGCGCTCCAGCGGTACAGATTTTGTTATTTGTTGCAGCGAATGTGCGCGGTGCTAAGGCGAGAGCCACAATTTGAAAACGAGCCGCCGTCAATCCGCGAAGCTTTTGCCAAGTGTTGAAACGAATGTGCGCGGCACTAAGGCGAGATCCACAGTTTGAAACAAAGCCGCCCTCAACCCGCGAAGCTTTTCATATTTTGTTCAACGCCTTTGCGCGGCGCTAAAGCGAGAACCGCATTTTGAAACCGACCCGCCTTCAATATGTGAAACGCTTCAAGCTTTTGCAAAAGAATGAACGCGGCGCCAAGGCGACAGCCACATGTTGAAAACGATCCGTTCCCATTCCGTGAATACCATCCAAACTTTTAACGAATGTGCGCGGCACTTAGGCGAAAACCGCATGTCAAAAACGACCCGCCCTCAATCCGTAAAGGTCTTTCATTTTAAAACGAATGTGCGTGGCGCTAATGCGAGAACCGCATTTTTGAAGCGACCCGCCCTCCATCTGCGAACCTGTTGCCAATTTCTAAGCTTCAGGGTCATACATCGTGGGGATGTCTCAGCCGAAACGCCCGGCCCGCCCTCTCGACCGACTTCGGGGTGCGACTGGGAGGGGTTACCCATAAGGAACATAATGGATGATGATGATGATACTGATGATGATTATGGTGCGGCTCGTGAGGACGATGCTGATGCTGATGATGGTGGTGATGGTGATGATGATGATGATGATGATGATGATGATGATGATGATGATGATGATGATGATGATGATGATGATGATCATGATGAGGATGAGGGTGAGGAGGAGGAAGAGGCGGAGGAAAAGGAGGGGGAGGAACAGGAGGAGGTAGAGGAGGACGAGGGGGAGGTGAGTGAGTGACCCAGGGGCACAAAAATGCAAAGAGAAGCTCTGGTGGGCAGGGCAACTGCTCCAGCAACCCCAGCGATTCGGCACGAATCCTGGAGTGTCCCAGCCCCTGGCGGCTGCCCCTGGCGGGTGTTGAAACCAGCGCCTCGCCTCAGACATCCTCAACATCTGCCCCGAAAGCAAGAGGTGTTGGGCACGCAAACAGGCAAACCGCTTGAGACCTTCCAGAATGTGGACGCGAACAGGCGAGTGTAATACCCCAAGCGCTCCCCTTTTGTGAGTGCTGAAACCAGCGCCTCGCATGAGAAATCCTTAAAACGTATGTGCCGAAAGCAAGGTACGTTGGGCACGC